ATCCTGAACTGCTTTAAAGAGCATTACTGGCATAGCTGGTAAAGCTGAAGCAAATGAACTACAAATTCGTACCTATTGTACTACTCAGAGACTACACGTTTCCTCAATTTGATAACTACTATAGATATATTAAGAGGATGCCTTTTTTTTATGTTTCTGGCTGATTTTTAATAGTTATTAATAAAGTTTAACAAAGTACATGTTTTCACTTATATGAGAGGACATCCCTGCTCTTAGGAAACCAGAATTGTGGAGTAAGGGGGCATGATGTATGCAAGTAAATAGTTCATGGCTCAGGAGCAGAAGAAAAAGAAGGAACAAGGGAGGAGAGGAGGGAAAGAATGAATGGTAAAGTAAAATAAAGCAAAATGTTTTTTCAACCCTTGACACTGTGCTGTGATTTTGAAATTATTTCAAAATAAAAAGCTTTAAAAACGTTCAGGGAGTTAAGAGGTGCGCAGCCTGAGGTAGACCTGTCCTGTCTAGAGCATGAGAAGCACAAAGTATGGCCTGCCAGTGGAGGGGGCTGTCCTTCAGCCTGCCTCAGCCTCCAACCATGGGAAATGGTTCTAAGCACCCACCTGCTAAGTCCTGGAAGCTAAAAAGTGTGAATTTGAAAAGTGAGGACCACTTTTCAACTGAGGGGCAGGCAGAGCAGCGATCAGCACTGACTGTGTGCTCAACAGGGAGTGCTGGACTCAGGGCCAAAGATTTAAATGTGAGCCCTCATCTGAGAGTACCTTGATCTCACAGGTGAGGAGGCTGACTCTAGAGAGGCTTTTTTTTTTTTCCCCCAGCACTGGGGTTTGAACTCAGGGCCTCACACTTGCTGGGCAGGTGCTCTTACCACCGGAGCCATTCCACCAGCACCAGCCATTTCTTGTGATGGGGTTTTTGGAGACAGAGTCTCCCAAACTATTTGCCGGGGGCTGGCTTTGAACAGTGTTAGAGAGAATATTTTTAAGCACCATCCACACTCTAAAGTCTTATTTATAACACAGCAAAATCCCAGAGAGTAAGTGACTGAGCTGGAACCCAACAAGTCTGTTTCCTCCAGAGCCATAGGTTTTTAAGCTCTTAAAAAGCAGAACCCTCATTCCACAAACAGATAGACATCCTTGCATTATTTGGTACAGTTTCATTATTTGGAACTGTATCCCCATCAAAATTCCTATATTAAAGCTCTAACCCAATGTGGCTATATTTGTAGAGATAGATAGCTTTTAGGAGGTCATTTAGGTTACATGAGGTACTAAGGGTGGGGCCATGCTCTAATCCCTGTAGGACTGGTGATGGTGTAAGAAACACATGCACACCTGGAGGAAAGGTCCTGTGAGCAAGCCAAAAAGAAAGCCTAGACCATGTTAGCACCCTGATGACTTGACTCCCAGCTTCTAGTTCTATAACAAAATAAATGCCTGCTGTTTAAGCAACCCAGTCTGTGATGTTCTGTTAAGGTTGCCAAGCAGACTGATACAGGGTTACCTTTCCAAATTAAAGACTGAATAGGGTCTGTGTGTGTAGATGGAGCGAGAAATGGGAGTGGAGGGCTGCACTGGTTATGGAACCATGTTTTTGCTTGCCTCACCTCCTTCCTAATTTACACTTTTTGGACTGTGCTCTTTGGACAGTAGAGCAAGGGTCCCCAAACACACATTAGCACTAGAAGGAAGCCTAGCAATCATCCCAGTTAACCTGTCACTTGACAGACTTGTAAGGTAGAATGAGTCCCTAGGGCCCCAGCTCCAGCCACCACCCTATTTGATCTTCCCCAAAAGACCTTCTACCTGAGCTAAAAGTGCTGCCAAATGCTCACAGGCCTGCTGGGAAACCGCTGCCCATGAGCAGAAGAGGGACACATTCACAGGATCCAACACTATACCTACCCTACAAAGTCAGACATGGAAAGGGTGTGTCCTCTCTCCTGCCAATTGTGTGGGCTTCTTGCTCTCCATAACCTACACCGGTCCAGGGGTGGAAATCACAAAGAATTTGACCTAACAGAAACCTCAACTACTTCAGAATCTGGGCATCCAGAGCAGGCTGCTGAAACTGCTCAGACAAGAATTTCTAGGCACAGTAGTGACTTTGGTAGGTGATAAACCACCCACACTCTAGAGTTTTATTTATAGACAGCAAAATCCCACTTTAATGCCTCACAACTAAAACAGGATTTTGAGACAATATTTCCCTAACTGCTCCCAGGAACATCAAAGTTCTGTGAAATGTTCACAGTTTCATTAAGGTGTGTGTGGGGGGAAAGGCTACAGAATTTTTTTTCTTCTAAGATTTATTTTATAAACATGTAAGAAAAGTTCTAGATGTATGTTGTTGGTCAAATTGCACAATAACAATCTGTCTTGAAGCAAATGTGCTAGTATCAAAATTACCAAAAGCATTCTCCCTTTTTTTTTTTTGTGGTACTGGGGCTTGAATTCAGGGTCTTGTGTTTGCTAGGCATGTGCTTTACCACTTGATCTACCCTTAGAAAAACTGTTTTACCTTCTAACTTACTTCCTGTTATATAAGGTTTAAAAGCAGATACTTCTGCATGAGACTTATTTGTGTAGCAGTTAATTAATTTGGGAAGCCATGACTTGTTGCTGACTCTAGCCAAAGTGCATGTTAGCATTTCACCATAACCTTGACAATGCTCAGCACGCAAGTGTGAGGAATGCTGCTTCAGGCAGAAGAGCTGATGCTGGGAGGGAAATGTTTCTTGTCTCCTGTTCTGGAGTGCTATCACTTTCCTCACACACAGGACCAGAATTTAAGAACTGGCCCAATGGTACATCTTTGGGGCCTCTCACCTTCCTGGGCAGCTGAATGCTTTTCTAAAAAATATTCTAGACTATCTGCATCATTTCCCAAAAATTCTTTGTAGAGCTCGTAGGGCTTCAGTTCAGATTTGAGAAGGTTATTACACTTTGATATTGATTGAATCCTATATTTAATGAGAACTTTTTTTTTTTTTGGCAGTACTGGAGTTTGAACTCAGGGCCTCACACTTGCTAGGCAGGGGTTCTAACCACTTGAGCCACTCCTACCAGCCTATGAGAACTTTTCTTATGCATAGTGTATACACCACTGCATAATCTTCCCCTTTTTGTATCCAGTGGTACTGTCTAGAATTAGACTAGCCTGCAGATAATAGTGCCAGAGTTGGCTGGGTCACTGCAATTCCTGAGCAATTCTGAAGCACTATTTATTCTGGGTTAGCCTGATATAAGGATACCGAGAAAACAACATGAAGACACCTGATCATTAGGAGCTCACATGCTAAAAGGAAAATAAAATGGGAAAATAAGACAATGTACATGGCAGAAAAATAAGGATTGGCTTGTAAAAGGACCCAGGGCCTCAGAGGATGGAAATGCTCCTGAGGCTGGGGATTTAAAATTCCATAAATGTTTATGGAGGACCTGCTAGGGGCCAAAAATCACAGTAGACCCTGGAAAAACCCCAATGAACAAGTCAGACATGGTCCCTGCTCTCACAGAGCTTACAGTCTAGCAAAACAGACAAACTAGGGATAGGAAATTATAATCTAGGTATGTAGGTGTGCTGGGTTGGGGTATAGTGATACGGCGTTGTATACACACTTCATTTAGTAAAACACAATAGTATTTGAAAAGTTAATGGAAAAAAAAGGACAAAGAGAAAGAAAAACAATTGCATGTTGCTTGGACCATTCCACCCTCAGTCCCCATCCTTCCCTCAGGGACCCCAGGCAGGCGGGAAGACTTGGGTAAGCCCTCTAATGCTCCTGTAGCCTAAGCCTCAAGCTCCTCAAAAGTGACATTCTTGCTGAGCGTGTACTTCTAGCATCTAAAAGTAAATGAGCTTTGCACAACATGGCCCTAACTGCAGAGCCAACTACTTCACCTGCTGCTCAACCAAAGAAACAGTGATCTATTCTCATATAGGTAAGAATTGACTACAATGATTTTGTACTGCTGGTCTTCAAATATGACACCTGCCTTGAGATTTCCAAGAGGAATTTTGATTATACTCAATTTTTATCTTAGGTGCTTAGACTTTATAACCTAATCCTGAAATCAGCTAAGGTTTCTTCATGGCAGTACCATGGGACACACACAAAGAACCTTGGCTCTGCCTCCTGGAAGGGTCCCTAAGGTCGCAAGGATGAGAGGGATAAAGGAAGGGGACTGAGATGAGAGGGCGGAAACATATAGCTGGGAATGCGTAACTACAACCTGGAAGGTCAGAGAAACCAAGATGGACCTGGGAGCTAATGGCACATGACAGGGATAAATAAGGAGAAAAGGTCAGAGATCCTGCCACAGGCTACATCTTGACTAGCTTCATAAGCCATCAAATAAGCATAGAATTTATTCCAAAGGTGATGGCGAAACTCTGGAAAGATTTTAAGCAAAAAAACAAAAGGATCAGATTTACATTTAAGAAAACTCATCTTGAAGCATGAAGAAGAGCTGATGGTCACTACTAGTCATTAGAGAAATGCAAATAAAAACTACAGTGAGACTACTTTATACTGGAAAATAACAAGTGTTGGTAAAGATGTGAGGGAACTGAACCCCTCATACATTGCTGGTGGGAATGGAAAATGATAGCTGATTGGGGAAACAACCTGATAGTTCCTCAAAAGATCAGAGTTACCATACAACCCAGGAATCCCACTCCTAGGTATAAACCCAAGAATAATGAAAACACATGTCCATGAAAAAACACATGTTCATAGAAACCTATTTATAAAAGCTATAAAGTGGAAACAACCTAAATGCCCATTAACTGATGAATGGGTATATTCATACAATGGAATGTTATTTAGCAATTAAAAAAAAAATGAAATTCTGATACATGCTATAACATGGATGAATCCTGAAAATACTTCAAGAAGCCAGACACTGATACATAGCATGTGACTCCATTTATGAAATGTCCATAACAGGCAAATCCATAAAGACAAAGATTATTTAAAAAAAAAAAAAAAAAGATAAAGACTAGTAGTTGCCAGGGGTTAGGAAAAAGGAAGAATAGGAAGTGACTACTGATGGATGCAGGATTTCTTTTTGGTGATGAAAATGTTCTAAAATTGACATAGAAATCGTTGCATAATTCTGTAAATACACTAAATCCACTGAAGTGTACACACTAAATGGGTGAATTGTACCCTATGTAAATCACATTTCAATTTAGCTGCCAATAACAATAAAAGTTTGTCTTGGCTACAGTGTGCAGAATGGAGGAGAGTTGGGGAGGAGGCTACTATTCAGAGGGAGTGGGACAGAACTTGAACCAAAGGGAAGGATTCAAAGGATCAGACTATATGGGGACCAGGGAAGGAAGGTTTACATCTTGCGGTGGGCTTCACTAGTTCTCTTGGGTACCTGATACCTCTCCCAAGAGGGAGAGCAAGAAACAGCAATGAGGTATCTGTAATTATTGTCAAGCAGCAAAACTGTATTTAAAATCTATATGTAAGGACAAAGCCCACATGTACAGAAAGCACCCTAGTTGCCTGCAGCAGTCCTCACTATCCACACTCACCCTAAGCTCCAAAGACAAGACTGGGTATACTGGGCACAATAAGATGTAAGATCTGAGTGACTGAGTGCTAGCTGGAGAGTGAGGAAGGCTAAGAAGGCCAATAACCTTAGGAAGCAAAATCCTTAAAGCTACCTTTCTGTGTTCTTTCCGCTATGGGAACTGCAAGCCTCCCAAAGTGAGTATTTTTCTGGGTTAGATAAAAGACCAAGTTTTGAGTGCACCCTCTCCCACACCCCCTTCATAATGTCTTCCCTGATCTCTAGCAGGAGTCTTGTGAGTTGTGAAAGGTCCTGGGACAAGTGGGTATGAGCTACTGGTGGGAAAGGGCCATGTCTGGGAAACAGAAAAGTCTATGAAGGGCATTTCTAAACTCTGAGGGTCCATGTCAGGTGAAACCACAAGGACATCTTTAAGCCACCAAACTACAGACTGTAATCTGATGGGGATAAGACCCTGTCTATAATCTCATGCCTGCCCTGGTTGTCTTCTTGGCCACTTACAACAGAAAGCAGTGCTGCAGCCACAGCTTTGAGAAGAATAAACCACCACTGATAGGCACCAACAAAGCCAGAAGCTCAGTAACAACTCATTCATTTACAAGATGGGAAAAGCAAGGCCCAAGTCAATGAGGCAGGGCCAGATGTATCAAGCAGTCCAGCTCTCAGACCCTTGCAGTTCATACTCTATCAAACCCTGAGCCGTCTTCCTAAGAACCTGGCTCTGAGCTGTGTTCCTTACAGAGTAAGAAGAGCTGAGAAACCTTGAAGGCTTCGGTCTCTATCGGCGAGAAGCCAGAACCACTTCTTTTTCCAGAATCCTAGGAAGCTGAAACATGTCATGGTTATATGCTACCATCTTTCTAGGGGGAGTGGTAGTGGGGTGGAAGATAAAACAGTTTTTCTTACAACTCTCTCAAGTCTCACAGCCCTTTATTAGCAACACTGTTCTGTTCTGCATTCATTTGAACCAGTGTACTTAGCCATCAACATGACATCAGCTCAGCCACAAGTCAAGTATTCTAGGATCCAGGGTTGCACTGGGTACAAAACAATCCAGGCAGGTAATGAGCTGTGTGACATCACAAAGGGACAAAGACTCATTACTGTTCTAATGAACTGAAAGGAAATGCTATTTTTAAGCCTGCAGAGGAATACAGTATTAAATACTTCAAAATAAAAATCAGACAGGAAGACAAAATAATCTACCTCCTTTTTATGGTAATAATCTGAAAGGAGCTTAAAATTTTCTGAAACTGTTCTCTTATTTACCAGTTTTGAAGAAGTCTTCAGCTATAACTTGGAAACATAAAGAATAAATTATCAATGGATCACTTCTAAAGTAATAATAAACAGTAAGATTCCCATCTCAGATGGATAGATTTTTTTTTTCCTACACTGGCCAAAAAGCAAGCTGAACTCTATGTACAACAAACAGACTATACAATTAGGATTATTTAAAAATAAGGAGACTCCTCTCTTTGCCTTCTTCCAAAGTATATAATATATATTTAACAGCACAAAAGACACCACTTGACCTTCCCCTATAGCCAACAGGAAGGATTTCCACATATAAAAATTAAAAATTTAAACTTTTAAGTCATTAATATTTTTTAAACATAATACAGACTTAAAAATTGTTCAACATTAACCCATGACTCCACCCCTAGCACATGAATCAACCCCAAATCCAGAAGTCACAGCTGTTTGTTCCTAAAAATCCCACAGCACTGAATTTGATCTTAACATCAAACTGACAGCCAATAAAAGGCCCTAATAGAAATCCCCAAGGAAGGAACAGAAGCACGATCAATTGGAAGTGAGATCGCTGCTGTGTCTCTTATCTACCTGGGCGTCAGGTGCACCTCTGAGGTCAGGTCCGTGAAATTCGGCCCCCACACTAGGGTCCTGGAAGAGTGAGCTGGCTGCTTCCCTCATCTTCCCCCTCGAAGGCTGTCCAGTAAGCACCTGGGAATTGACTTTTCTTGGGAAAAGGGTGCTGGTAACAGCTGTCAGGGCCAAGGCAATAGTGAGAAGTTCAGTTCTCTGCTCTTTGGATGAACTGTGTAAAACATTTCCTTTAAAAGACACAATGTTAAAAATATTAAGAAAAATGTCTACAAAATCTGGAGGGCTGCCTTTTTCTCAAAGGGTAAAGCTTGTGGGGTGTGGGAGAAGTGAGGGCCCAGAACTATAACTCTGCAGCAATAGAGATGCCCTTCAAAACTTGTCACTCTTAGGATGTCTTGCTGAAGCAAGAGCTAAGGGTGACTGTGTGAGTAGGAGGGAGGGGCGCCAACTCCTGCAGGGGAGGCTCCTAGTGTGCGCCCCACAGTATGCAACAATGTCAGCCTACGGCAGCTGCCACAGGCCAGCGCATCAGGACTCTGCCTCTGAACCAGAGCTGCTTTCCCGACTAACTTCAATCTGGAGAGATGGTAAGTTATCTAACCGGCTCTTCTTTTGGCGAGACTGTTCTTTCTCCTTAATGAGAGCCCCCCACGCCCTTTGCAGCTCAGAATCATCTTCCTCAGTGTTGGGTGCCCTGTGAACCACTTTCTTCATATTCTTTTCTTTGGTCTTGGGTGCAGATCCTAAGCGAGTCCATAAGCTACCTGTTTGGGTGAGAAGACATTTTAGTTTGGCAGACGACACTGAGCACCACAGTAGTTCTGAAGAAGCAGGGGCACTGCCAACATCTAACATGCAGGAAATATGTGGTCTGCAGCACTCGTAGCCACTATCTGCAATGGAGGGATGGGAACCCAATGGGAGATGCTCGTTGGAGGTACCAAGTGCTCCCACCTTATGCATAAGATAATAACCTGAAAGGCTTTTTCCTGCCATATCTGCTCCTCCCAGGTGAGACTCCTCATGCCTTATACCACTTTGTTTTGTTAGGAAACTGCCAGCTCTAGGGACCCACTGCACTATGAATGACTTTCAGATTTCCAGGCCACTATCCATTAATTTTTCTTGGGTGGGGGTGAGGGAGGCTGGAGTTTGAACTCAGGGCTTCATGCCTGCAAAGAAGGCACTCCACTGGTTGAGCCACACATCCAGTCCATTTTGCTCTGGTTATTTTGGAGATAGGGTCTTGCAAACTATTTGCCTAGGCTGACTTCAAACCACATTCCTCTGGATCTTAGCCTCCCAAGTAGCCAGAATTATAGGTGTGAGCCACCAGTGCTCAGCTTCCATTAATTTTTAAAGTATATTCTGTTAAAATCTAATGTAAGAGAATTAAGTGTTTAGAACTTTATAGTATAGAATACTATAAGGCAATTAAAGTTTTATTTACGAAGAGTATGCCAATGTTGAAAATGGTTATAATAAAATCCTGTATGAAAAGGTAGGATGTGTAGGTGGACCCTCCCCCCGACTCCCCCAAAAAAGTGTGTGGCCTCTGTGGCTGGTCTGCTGTGCTTGAATCATGACACAGATACCTAGAGCTGGCAGAGTGGCTCAAGTGGTTGATCACCTGCCTAGCAAGTATGAGGCCCTCAGTTCAAATCCCAGTACCACCCCCTCACACAAAAAAAATGTGATGAAGACTGGAATACACACATGAAACTAAAAGCTATTTGTGATAAACTGAAAGAAGCAGGGATGTTGTATTCTTTCTTACTTTCTAAACTTTACTGTTAGCATTATGATGACAATGACAATAATGATAATGGAAGAGGAAAAGTCACTTATTTTTGGCATGTGTTGCTTCCTGCCTCTCCTTTAAAAAAAAATGTTATTTCTTAGCACATATAGTAGTGTACAGGGGGATACATTGTGACATTTACACATGTGCTTACAATGTACCTTACTTAAGATTCAGACCCCTGCCTCTACTTCTATGCTACAAACATTACCCATCAGTTTGAAGTGCTACTTACCTGATTTCTTCTCCCGTGTATCAGAGTAGAGGCCTTTAACATCTTGCCTGGGAACCCCTAGCCTACTATGTACATCTGAAGAGGGCTCTCTCCGGACCACTGGGTTACTATTAAAAGCCTTTTCTGGAGAATATGGTCTTTTTCCTAATCGCTGGCGAATATCTAGAAAAAGAAAAAGTACTACTGTCACTAAGCATGCGCGCTATCGGTACTGTTGACTTGAAATCTTTTCCCAAGTGAGAACACAGGACCTGACTAATCAGGCTTCCAAAAATCTTTCTCTCTTCATAACTGGTCTGGATCCTCCTAAGAAAACTCAGAGGCAGGAGCTATCAGAAGGGGAAAAGAAAAGAGCAAGCTCCCCAAGGGCAGAACCACCCTCTTTGAATATCTAAGTAGTTCTCAAAAAACTTGTTACATTTAACCAGTAAATATAATGAGACTGGCAAAAACAAAGGATAAAGGCAACATGGCCCAAACAAATGTGCAAAACAGCAACGCCAGTCCCACGTTCATTAGCAAGGACCTTATGCTGAAACTCCTCCCATCTCACTCACACCTCTCCCAGAGAGTGGCACCCACCTCCCTGGTCACTCAGGCTGAGTTGCCTCCTAGTCTTCTCTGCCTTTCCCCCCTTACTTCTCAATCCTGAGCCTTTCTTCTCAAGGTGTCCTACAGCTCATTCTCATCCTTTCTGTCTCCACTCTCCCTGATCTAGTTCAGGTCTTTGTTACTTGACTCTACCACATTCCACTCCAACCCAAAGTTATCATTCAAAAACAGGTATAAGATCAGGTTACTTCCCACCTCAAAAAACAAAGTTTGTCAACTAAAATCCTATCCCCCGCCACTAAAGCTTAGCTGTGAGGCCACTTCCTCTAAGAAGCCTTTCACAGTTCTCCCAGTAGATCCCCAGCAGCTCCTTCAAAGACTTCTCACGTGCCAGCTGGGATGGTACTCAGCAAGTATACCACTTATCTGCTATGAGTGTTTGCAGCAAAAAATGACCCAGTTCAGTGCAGTGGCTCACACTTGTAATTCTAGGCAGATACTTTTACTGCCTGAGCCACTCCACCACACCCCTCTATTGTTCTTGTATATAGTATACCAATAAAATACTAAAATAATTTGTTTTGAACAAAAATACTGAAAACTGATTTTGCCAAAGTCTGAGTATTTTTCATGTTCCCAAATCCCAATGCCTACCCTAAAAGTCAGATGTAATGAACAAGGACAATTAAATCAGCTCAAAAGCATTTTATCCAAGAACCTAACTCTGCCACAATTTGCCCTCTGGAGCTCAGAATGAAGCCCAGGAACGATAGATAGATAGATAAAAAATAAATACAATACCTGATTTAGTATTGCTGACTGGTGGCCGTGGATGTGAGTGCTGACGTTTTTCATCTAACAGGTGACGGACATCTACAAATTTCTCAGGTGGCAACTTGTTCCCAATTCGGTTTTTGATATTGCTAGTGGTTATACTATCTGCTCTCATGGAGTTCCTTTAAAAAAAAAGAAGAAAAAAAGTCACAATTTATGAACTTCAACTGTTGAGGTCCACGCAATAATATACTTCAGAGAAAACAATTTAGGAAACCTAATCTAATAGAGCCAACATTCACTTATAAATACCACACATTACCACAATTATTAATAACTTTCTTAGGGAAACCATTACCAACATGCTGGGAAGAGACTGGTAGGTCAAGCAGCCTACTGAGCTCCTAGGATGGTTTCCCTAGGAAAACCTGTACACTATCACAGAACACGTAACTACAGGTTCCCTTCTCCTGAGACAAACAAACATTAAGCAGAGGTCTGCAAAGAGCTTGGGGCTCTCTTTACCCCAGCTGAGATCTGGTTGTAGTCTAGACATGATAAGGTCTACAATCTCCTTCTTCTTTTTTGTTTTGTATGTGGGATTGAACTCAAAGCATGCTATCACTTGATCCATGCCCCCAGTCCTTTTGCTTTTAGTTCTGTTTTTTCAGGTAGGGTCTCTCTCTGGAGCTAACTCTGCCAAGGCTGGCTTCAGACCTTGATCCTTCTATCTCTGCCTCTCAGTAGCTGGGATTACAGATGTGAACCACCACACCTGGCTACAATGCTGTTATTGAAAGAGCAGACTTCTCTGTCAATGAGATCTGCTAGGATCAGTATTATTTTGCCAGAATGTTCTACTGTAGACTTCCGTGAAAACTGCAAATAAAGATGTGAACAAACCATACAAAAAAACCAGCACAAAAAGGTTGTTTTGCTTGCCCATGTATATCACCAAGAACATCTTAAGAGAGAATCTAATCCTTGGGAGTTCTGGATATATTATCTGCACTACAGAATCTACTCATCCCAACTAGTAACTGAAGGAAAGCACATTAAAATGACTGTGTTTTTTATTCATGAAATCAGCAAAACTTAGGAAGAAGAGTGATACCTGTGGTATCACTCCACCGGTGATGAGCAGTTTCATGAGTAAAACCCTCTGGAAGGAAATCTAGCAATACCATATTTTTAAATACACTATTTTTTACAGTAACTATACTTTGAGAAATTTATCTAGTTAATTCAATAGTAAGAAAATAGAAACCTAAATGTCCATCAATAAGGGATTAAATAAAGCCAGACATGCTGGTGCATATCTATAATCCCAGTACTTGGGAGACTAAAGCAGAAATACAAACTATATAGTGAGACCCTGTCTCAAAAAACAACAAAAAAAATGATGACACTTTCAAACAATGGACTATACATAGCTGAAAAAAAAAATAACCAAATGAATACAGGTGGTTTTCACTTTCTGTACTATCTGTAGTTAAATAACAATGACCACTGCTTATATAGAGGAAAAAAATCAGATGCTTTTACAAAGAACTGAAAGTATAATAAAACTAATTATAAAATTAAGAGGAATTAAGCCTGTGATTAGTATTTAAAATCAACATAAAGGGTGGGATATAGTTAGGTGGTATAGTGTTTGCCAAGCATGAACAAGACCCTGAGTTTACTCCTCAGCACCACCAACCCTCCTCCCCAAAAAAACCGAACAAATACATAGAATTTTAAAGCTAGTATTGATAGAAAGAAAAAATATTTTTACCTAATACTTTTCAACTGAGATTCCACTTCATCAGCATACATAGTCATTTTCATGCTTTTCTTTGGTGAAGGAGTAGAAATCATTTTCAGCTCCAGATCATAGTCCATTTCATCTGAATCTGAGCTGCTAGCACTGGATCGTCTGGATGTGCTCCGCTCACGAGTCTGCTTGAGAGTTGGGAGCTCCTCATGATACTCTACCACCACCCTGTCATCTGCATCCATGTCCTGGTCTTCCTCCTCATCCTCCTCCTCTTCTTCCTCCTCCTCAATGGGTTCCTCAGGAACATTCACTAATCCTGAAGAAATTTAACCAAAATAATTAGGAAAAGCTTAGACTAAAACTAACAAGTATGATTTTCTATTCAATATCAGTGAAAAAATCCCATCTCTGAGATTCTATTGGCATACTATCTATTAACAATGCCAACCTGGACACCATTCTGATGCCTACAGCAGGAGAATGATTAGGTAAAGTATAATCTAGCAGCCTAACTCCGTATTATAAAGCCATTTAAATACAAGCAATACTAATTCACAAGTTTGGAATTTGTAAAATCAATACTCCAGGTATTCTGAAGGTCATTTATGGACATGTGCAGAGCAACAAAAAAATCTGAGTCATTGGATATGCTTCTTCCCAGCTGACTTCAAACAAAGACTAACACTCTACCTTCTTGTTTCATCTCTCATACTGTAAACAAGTATCCTTTTCAGTCTATTGACTGCAAACACAAAAACGTTTTTTGAATTTTTGTGCTTTTTATTGATGATTTCACTGTTTAAAGTGGCTCCCAAATATAGTGCTTAAGTGTTGTCTAGTGGTGTTTAAGTTCAAGAATGCTGTGGTGTGCCTTATGAACAAAATGTAACAAACCTCATTCAGGCAGGAATTACAGCACTGTTGGCTGTGAAGTTAATTTTAATTAAACAAGTGTATACAATAAATAAGGTGTCTTTAAGCAGAAAAACTGGTACAACAAAGTTATTTATTGATCAGTTGATGAAAACAATGTGACCAGAGGCTTTGTATGGTTCAGTATTTGTTAATTCAATGTTTGCTGTGACTTCATACCACATAACCACCCCAAATACTAAAAATCAACTATTAACTTTAAAGTACATGGGAAATGCTTATGATAAGCAGAAGATATATTTATAAGAATTACAATATTTATTATGAAAATAAAAGAATGGGAAAAATGTAAAATGAAATCAGTTGAAATAGTGTGCTAGAATTAATAGGGTCAATTTCCTTTTTAATATCCTTAATATGAATATAAAGAGTAGAAGGTAACAATATCTTTTTAGTGAAAGTGATAGTAAAATTTGTTAGGAAAGGAATAGGGTCATCTCTAGAGAGAGAAGAGAATGTCTGGTAACAATATTTTAAAGTAACTGAAATTTGAAAAGTGTAACTGTGTAACAGAAAGATATATGCATTATTAATATGCACATTTCAAACATACAATCTGAACATAGGCATTAAATAAAAAATATATATATACTTCATCTCTTCCTGTCCCATTCCAATGACACACGTGTGCATATTATTCTGTTCGTATGATAACTTGACTAGTTTAAAGCATGTAGAAGATTCCACATGTTAAGTTTGAAATAAAAAAATTTTACAAAACATAATTAAAATGATTTCTTTAAATAAGCATAAAAAAGAAAAAGAGAAAGGAAGCCAAAGTTGTGATAGAACACTTTTTTGTGGCATTCATGTAAAAGCCAATAAGCCTAAAGAACTCAACACAGAAATCTATTTACATTACTAGAAAAGGAACAGAAAAATCAGTCCATCTGATAAAACAATTACATTTTTTTCATGAAGTTGCTGATATTAATAGAAAAATTAGCTTCCTAAGAAAAGTTTTATTTTAATTTTCTCTATGTCACATTTGGTCTTTTTTTGTTAGAACAACTTTATAAACTCATTTGACCTCTTTGTATGGGCAATTTAAAATTAACTGTGATTTGACTTACTTTCCTATATGTTGGCAGAGGGTGAGGGCAGGGAAGAAAGGATGATAAAGTTTGGAACCTTAAAAGATTGTATTAAGAATAAAAGTATGATTTCGAGAGCCAAACATGTGTCTACCCAAGAGCTGAGCAGGCAACTACCAGAATGTCGGTGTTTATATGATGTCAAGCCAAGGTCATCCCCAATCAGGGCTCTCTTCTTAATCACATCCCGCTGAATGCGACGGGAATGATATCTTCGCTTCCTGCAACATTGTCAAAATAAGCACATTATCAGAAACCAATAGGAAGATACTGAAATCCTTCAGTAAATTTAAACTGTGTACTGACACGTTAGGTGCTGAAACAGAAATACTTTAAAATGAAACTGAAGCACTTTACCACAGTTAAGAAATGGGAATTCTTCCCTCTTGTCTTCCTTTCAGTCCACGTGAGGTTCTGAAGGACTCCACTACAGAATACCAACTGAAGGATTAAGAAAAGCTTAAAGTGCACACCCGTAATCCCAGCTACTTGGGAGGTAGAAGCAGGAAGATCCCAAGTTCAAGGCCAGTCCAGGCAAAAAGTTCAACAGACTCCATCTCAATCAATGCTAGGCTGTGGTGGTACACATCTGTCATTATAGCTACACAGGGAAGCACATATAGGAGGGTCAAAGTCTAGGCTGGCCCAGGCACAAAGTAAGACCCTATCTCATAAATAACCAATATGAAAGGGGCAGATGGAGTGGCTCAAGTGATAAACAGCTTGCCTAGCAAGCAAAAGGCCCTGAGTCCAACCCTCAGTACTGCCAAAAAATTTTAAAAATAAAAAGAAATTTAAAGGGTGGAGGTGTAAATCAAGTACTAGAGTGCTTACCTAGCAAGTGTGAGAACCTGGGTTCAACCACTAGTACTACTGCAAAAAAAAAAAAGAAAGAAAACTTAAGCACTACTTAAATTATTACTTTAAGGTTTTGGACTCACCATGAATTGCTAAGAATTCCTTTCATGCCTCCATAGTTTGGATTCCCATATTTCATGTAATACTGACTTCTTCTGGCTGCTCCAAGTTCCTTTTTGTCATCTAAAAATTAATATAACAGTTACATAGGATTTCCTATAGGTATAAAGACAATATTGAACAATTTTAAGTAGCTATATATTCCATAGCTGGTATCAGATCAGTGCAATCTACCAACAAACAAGGAAAGAACTACTATACACATTCCTGCTCTGAGAGTATACTAAGGTAGTACAGTGTGGAGGAAATAAGAGCAAAATATAGAGAAGACTTAGGTTAAACTGCTGTTTAGGATCTCACTACCTTGGCAGAGAATTTACTATGAGACAAACAAACAATCCAAGATATAGAGTTCTATAGGTAGACATGTGGGCCAGTGGTAGAACACTGGCCTGCATGTGTGAGGCCATGAAGATACAAGGTTCTAAGAAGCAGTAGGACAGTTTTTCAGAAGAGGTGGTGTTTTCATTGTCCCCTGAAAGATACTTATTTCTGAATGGCAAACATTACAGTATCTGGGTATGGTGACTCCTCCCTGTAATCCTAACTACTCGAGACAGAGACTGGGAGAATCAAAGGTTCAAGTCCAGCCCAGGCAAACAATTTGCAAGCCCCCATCTTAAACAATGAAAAGCTGAGTGTGGTAGTGCACCTGTGCCTGTGAGAAGTGTAAATAGAAAAAAGCAATATCCTACCTCAAAGATAACTATGCCAAAAAGGGCTGGAGGCATGGCTCAAGTAGCAGAATACCTGCCTAGTAAGTACAAGGCCCTGAGTTCAACCCCAGGTATCAAAAACAAAAAAAACCACCAACACAGAATAAGGGTTAAAGAATCAAAGTATACACAAACCCATTTACTTTTTCTAGCTTCTTATGATATTCCTCAAAATGACTAAATAGCACAGTGGGTCAGGTACAGTGGTTCAAACCTGTAATTCCAGCTACTTGGGAGGCAGAGACTAGGAGTACTGTACAAAAAACTAGTAAGACCCCTTCTCAACAAATAAGCTGGGTGTGGTGACATGCACCTGTAATACCAGTTACATGAAGGCTGTAGTTAGGAAGATCACAGTCTGAGTCTGGCTTTGTGACCAAAAAAAAAGGACTCTTTCTTAAATAAATAAATAAATAAAGCAAAAGAGGGCTGGGCTGGGAGATGGCTCAGGTAGAATGCCTGCCTACGAGGCCCTGAGCTCAAACCACAGTACTTAAAAAAAAAAAAAAAAAGTCAGGTGCCAGTGGCTCACACCTGCAATCCTAACTACTCAGGAGGCAGGAGGCAGGAGGCAGAGAGCAGGAGGATCACAGTTCAAAGCCAGCCCCAGGCGAATAGTTTGTGAGATTCTACCTCGAAAATACTCAAGACAAAAAGGGCTGGCAGAGTGGTTCAAGTGGTAGAGAGCCTGCCTAGCAACACAAGACCCTGAGTTCAAACTACAGTACAGCCAAAAAAAGGGGGAAAAACAGGAAAACAGCACAGTACTATACATCTAGAATGCATTTAAATAACCACATAAACTAGTAAATGTGGAAAAGAACACATTTGCCATGTTAAAATGCCAGTTAACAGGAAAGGTGATCAGTGATCACATATTTATCAAAAGCAGTAACACGAAGGCCTTTAATGGATCCTTGGGCATTCTTTGACTACAAATGACAAACAGCACTGTAAATGTATTCAGCAGTACAGCTAAATGAAGTATCAGTTAGCATGTCCACCCCCACAAAAAAAATAAATAAATAAAGACAAGCTCACCATCTCCTTGGAGAAATGATTGGTTCCAGATTTGTGGGAGGTAAAGTATAAATTGAGTGTAGAAAAACAAGATGACTTACTGTGCTGTAAAGTCAGAAAGTGCCTGAAGAATCATGATGCATATCAACACAATTTGAAGGGGGTTCTAGGCCAAATCCAAAAAATTTTGTGAATCAAAATAATAGCAAGAACCAACAAGAATTCACTGAATGAGAATCCATGAGTCTAAACCAAAATATGTAAACAGATAAGGGGAAAGTTTTTTCCTAGAGCCAACTGCCAACTAATAAACGATAGTAAGAAGGTCGTCAAGGGACCTAAAGCTACTGCATTTAAGTGTGATGAACAACGGGCTATTCATATAGTCTTCAAGTATTTCTCCACCAATTTTTAAATTACAAATGGATTAACAGATGACTTTACAATTGAAAAACCCGGCAATCACTAGCTTAACCAAGTGAGATGAGTAAACTGCATGTAGCTCCTGATCTGATGAACTGAAAATGACACCACCTCACTTCTGCAGTATTCTTGCCTCACATATGCAACCTGAATTTAATTAGGAGAAAAACATAAAACAATCCCAAACTGAGGGACATTTTATAAAATAATGAGCCTATATACTCTAAAAATGTCTCAGTAAGGACAACAAAGCAAAGGAGTAGTTCCAGATTAAGGGAGAGTAAGGAGACATGGCATCTGTAAGTAATCAGTCCTGGAGTGGATTCTAGATGTGTGGGTTAAGGGAATAAAAAAAAAAAAAAAATACATATTTTTGGAACAATTGATGAAATCTAAACACCTCTATGAATTAGATAATAGTAGGATGTTAATGTTAAATTTCTGGATTTTGGTAACTATACTGTAGATAAGACAATGGCCTTGTGTTTCAGAAATACATACTGAAATATTTAGAGGTAAAGGGCTGTTAACTATAACATTCTCAAATGATTAAAACAATGAATGTATACACTGTATATATAAATATACATGTGTATTTTTTAAATCCCATCAAAAATCAGTGTGCATAAAGTCTTATGAAGATCAGAACTGAAAGGCATATTACTGATGTGTATCCAGGAGGATTATTGCTACAATAAAAAGTGCAATTTTTTAAAGTTTCCTAATTTAGATGATAGATAACCGGCTGAAAAATGTATGGGGCAAACAAATTTTAATAGAAAATTACTTACATCAGCTAAAAATCACAAAAGTTAAAAAAACAGCCTCCTTCCCTCCCTTCCTCCCTCCCTCCCTCCCTCCTTCCTTCTGCGGCATGGGGGACAGATTTGGAACTGAGGGCTTTGTGCTTGCTAGGCAAGTGTGCTACCACATAAGCCATGCCTTCAGCCCCTCCTGCTCTGGTTATTTTGGAGATAGGGTCTCACTTCTTGCACAGGCTTGCCTGAATCATGTCCTCCTCTTTTATGCTTCCCACTGTCCTAGGATGACAGGACACACACATCCATCCCACACCTAGCTTTTTTCCATTGAAGTGGGGTCTTGCAAACTTTTTTTGCTGCGGCAGGCCTGGCAATCCTCCAAATCCCAGCCTCCCAAGTAGCTAGGTTTACAGGTGTAAGCTACTGCACCAGGCTTAATGTTCACGTTCCTTTTTTTTTTTTTTAGCGGTACTGGGGTTTGAACTCAGGACCTCATGCTGGCTAGGCAGGTGCTCTACCACTTGAGCCGCTCCATCAGCCCTGTTTTGTGCTGGGTATTTTTGAGTTATAATCTCATGAACTACCTTGCCCAGGCTGGCTTCAAATTGCAATCCTCCTGGAACTCTGCCTCCCAAGTAGCTAGGATTATAGGCATGAGCCATAGGTGCCCAGTAATTTTCACTTTCAAAGATAGAAATTCCTTCTCAGAGAAGTACAAAGGGCCAATAAATACATTAAAAAAAGTTCAAAATCTTTAGTCATCAGGAAAATGCAAATCAAAATTTGAGATTCCATCTGACTACAGTCAAAATGACTATAGGAAGAAAACAAAAAGCAACAAATGTTGGAGAGGATATGTGGAAAGAACCCTTATATGCTATTGGTACAAATGTAAATTAGTCCAGTAACTATGAAAATCAGTACAGAGATTCCTTTGGGTATATGACAAGGAGTGGTATAGTTGGAATGGTTCCAACTATACCACTCCTTGTCATATACCCAAAGGAATCAAAGTCAGTATACAATAAAGAAACCCATATATATTGCAACACTATTCACAACAGCCAAGTTATGAAATAAGTGTAGGTGCCCAGCAACAAATATATATATTAGGGTTGGGGGCATGGCTCAAATGGTAAAGTTCCTAACTAGCAAGTATAAAGCCCTGAGTTCAAACCCCAGTATTATAAAAAAACACGCACGCGCACACACACATACAAACACACACATGTATATATATTCCTTCTCAGTCAGCAAGCCATTTTTTTCATAAACACAGAATATTATAGGGTTTTTTTTGTTTTGTTTTGTTTTTTTTAAGCAGTTCTGGGGCTTGAACTCAAGGCCTACACCTTGAGCCATTCCACCAGCTCTATTTTTGTGATGGATTTTTTCAAGATAGGGTCTTCCGGACTATTTGCCCAGGATGGCTTCGAACCGTGATCCTCCTGATCTTGGCGCCTAGCCAGATTATAGTTTGAGGGAACTTTAAGATTACTTGATATAAATTCTAGTCAGAGACAGATATCACTAAATAATTCTCAATAATTTATCATTTTCACTGAAAATAAATAATCAATATCAAATACCAAATTTACCTTTAGTAGCAAATCTCATGAATAACCTATTCTTTAGCATTTTTTTTTTTGTTTTTTTTTTTTTGCAGTTCTGGGGCTTGAACTCAGGCCTACCGCTTGAGCCATTCCAACCAGCTCTATTTTTGTGATGGATTTTTCAAGATCAGGGTTTTCCGGACTATTGCCCAGGATGGCTTCGAACCGTGGAAATCTCCTGACTTGGGCGCTAGCCAGATTATAGTTTGAGGGATTTAAGATTACTTGATATAAATTCTAGTCAGAGACAGATATCACTAAATAATTCTCAATAATTTATCATTTTCACTGAAAATAAATAATCAATATCAAATACCAAATTTACCTTTAGTAGCAAATCTCATGAATAACCTATTTCCTTTAGCAAGTTTGTTAGCTGGACGAAGATCGTTTCTTAACAGAGACTCTTCTTCTACCTGAGACAATGTGTCCAACTTAAGAAAAAAAGAGCATTTTCAGTGTCAAAATTAAAGTCTTTTTTGTAAACAAGTTACCATTAAGAAAGCACTTTACCATTAACATTCACCACACTATAGCACTAATTACTCCAAGAATTTTGAAGTCAGAGGTCTTCTATGATCACCTTGCCTAAAAGAAGTCTCCACATTCTACCCCTTTATCCTTCTTTACTTTTCTTCTTAGAACTTGTTACCTCCTAACATTATATATCTGTGTATCTGGGTTCTAAGAACATCAGAACTTTGTTTTGCTTAATGACTATCCTTAGCACCTAGAATTTGGTACACAATAGCCACTTAATATTTAAATATTTAAAGTGAATATATTCAGCTAGGCATATAGCTCAGTGGTAGAGCACTTGCCTAGCATGCCGAAAGCCCTGGGTTCAATCACTAGTACTGCAAGAAACAAATTTTTAAAAATATACTCTAATATTTCTAACAATAGTACATAATCCACTAAGAAATATGCCACTACTTGCTTTTGCTTTTCTGTGATGCTGGTGATCAAACCCAGGGCCTCACACATGCTAAGCAGGTAGCCTAATACTAAGATATATATCCAGCCCTAATTGCTTTTTCTTAATTCTCCTAATTAGATAACACTTAAAATATTTCTCAATAAAACCACTTTGTTTTATGCAGAAGTATAAGTACTATTCTAAGATCCCAAGATAAACTGTTATATCCACACAAACTTAAAAGGCCAAGAGTATGGTACATACATGCTCAGAAGTTTTCAGGGTAAAAGCTAGAGGAAGAATACAACTTACTAATTATTTAAGCCTTAAATTAAAAAGACAGTAAGCATTGTTTTTACAATAAAACCTTATGGATATCTTTGCCCTATTACAAACCTCTACATCACTGGAGTTCTCATCTTCAACTTCTCCTTCTTCAGCCTCTTCATCATCTGAACTGTCTTCCTGCTTGTCTAAAATGGAATGTGAGGGACAAGATGAACTTTAACATAACTCCATTTCATATAATTTTAAAACTCCAGTATTTTCTACTGTTATTTACTAAAGAGCCAAAGCATCACAGTTCACTGGAAACATCTGATAATGAGATGCTATCTCTACTTAGAAACCCAAAGGCCCAAACCAGATTTGTGTAAAGAATAGTGCTTTCGAGCCAATGTTCCATCTTTACTGTTCAGCTACCTTTTTTACTTTTCTCAGATGACTTGTCTTCATTGGCATCTCTGCTTCTTATCTTATCCTGGGCTGGCATAGAGCTCATATTAATAAGGGCTCGTGTAGCTGTCATTTCATCCAGCCAAACCACATTACCTAAAATAAAATGTAAAGTAAAACATCACACCACATCCAAATAGTAAGTTTCTTGATGGCAGATTCTGCATCACAATCATTACCACAACTTCATCTAGCTGTAGATTGTCATCAGTAACTGTAGAAACCAGCTAATGAAAAGAAGCATTAAAGTGGTGGTAAAACCTCTTTGATGAACTTAGCTGAATAGTGCACTCACAAACTGTTATCCTAGATACTCAGAAGCCAGATCAGGAGGATCACCATTCGAAGACAGTCCAGGCAAACAGTTCACAAGACCCTACCTTGAAAATACCCAACACAAAAAAGGGTTTGCAGATTGTCGTAAGTGATAGAGTGCCTGACTAGCAAGCACAAAGCCCCGAGTTCAAACCTCACTACAACCCAAAAAAAAGAAAAAAAAATTTACTATCTCTGTTATCTCTGTGTGGGAAATGAAGGTCTAAAGACTTCTGTTACTAACAGGTCATGTAGCCCTCGGTAAGTAACTTTCTCTGTTTTTCAGTTTCTAATGCACAATATGAGGTAGTTGAACTAGATATTTCCAAGGGTCTCCCAACTCTAATATCCCTTACTAAAATTTACGTGATTTAAATTAGGAGTTGCAAACTATAACTCACAGGCCAAATCCAGCCTCCACCTGTTACGTATATTTGTACCAGCTTTATTTAGGTATAATTAACGTATAATAAATTATGTATCTACCACCTGGTTTTGTAAAGAAAGTTCTACTGGAACAGCTGAAATGTTAGTTTAAATACTGTTTATAGATGCTATCCCAACAGAGCTGAATTGATACAACAGGGACCATATAGTCTATAAAGCCTAAAATATCTACGATCTGGCCCATTATAGAAAAAAGTTTACTGACTCTTGATTTGGATAGTGTAAGTTAAGCAGAAAGAAAAGAGAAGAAAAACCTTTTATTCAGTCATGTTTCTTCCTTCTATGTATACACTGAATCGACATCTTCAGGGAGCAGTTGAAAAACTCACTGGCTATCTACCTAGCAGGCCAGCCAACTGGCAGCAAGTAAAGCCAGACTAGAAATGAAGACAAGGAGCCAGAAAAGTGGTTATCAGAGGTGAGGCCAGACTTGGAGTCAGAAGCCAAGTTAAAAGTAACATGTGGCTCACAGGCTGAACTCCCAGGTTAGGGTAAGCAGATGATGTCCCAAAATATATAGTACAAGGCAAGTAGAGGTGAGCAGCCTTGCCCCGGCATCAGAGCACTCCAGTCTAGGTCTAGGTCAGAGATACTGAGAAAGGTCAACCCTCTGAGTAACACGGCAAGTAGCAATCGCAAAGTTCAAAGCCTTGAAAATGCAGCACCAAGTCTAAATAGTTGCATACACCCCTTTTTGGAGAAACAGTGAGTGTTAAAGAGGTTTCAATCAAGTATACTGGACTCAGAGGTTAGCCTGGCCCAAAAGACCAAAAATCGTATGTTCTCCCTCATATGTGGACATTAGATCAAGGGCAAACACAGCAATGGGATTAGATTATGAGCACATGATAAAAAGCAAGAGCACACAAGGGAGGGGTGAGGATAGGTAAGACACCTAAAAAACTAGCTAGCATTTGTTGCCTTTAACGCAGAGAAACTAAAGCAGATACCTTAAAAGCAACTGAGGCCAATAGGAAAAGGGGAACAGGTACTAGAGAAAAGGTTAGATCAAAAAGAATTTACCTAGAAGGTAACACCCACGCACAGGAAATCAATGTGAGTCAATGCCCTGTATAGCTATCCTTATCTCAACCAGCAAAAACCCTTGTCCCTTCCTGTTATTGCTTATACTCTCTCTACAACAAAATTAGAGATAAGGGCAAAATAGTTTCTGCTGGGTATTGGGGGGGAGAGGGAGGGGTCGGAGTGGGTGGTAAGGGAGGGGGTGGGGGCAGGGGGAAGAAATGACCCAAGCCTTGCATGCACATATGAATAATAAGAGAAAAAGGAAAAAAAAAAAAGTATACTGGACTCAGATGCCAGCAACCAACCCTGTAAGAGTGTGCATCACCCCTCTCAGTGACTTGGAATTCCATGAGATATGAGCTAGCAAACTGGCTGAGAAATAGTGGGTCTCATCAAATGGGTAAATTTTTTTCCTATGCTAAGGGCAGAAGTTAGACATGAAGTAGTCGGAGCCACATCATTCACTATTCAGACAGCAAAAACTCAAAAATCATGAACAAAAGCAGAAAACTTAGGTGTACTTACAGGAAGTGTCATCCAACCATTCGATGTGAGCTGGAGGATATTCTTTAAAATAGGAAAAGATATCCTGGGTACTCATCTCATCTACTCCACAAATGTAGATTGTCTCCAGTCTCACTTTGGGGATTGCTAGAAAAACAAGACAGAATTTCCCCACTTGCTATTGAACATCTCATTAGTATTCTTTTATGACAGCTTAAATAACATATGCCTAATTGTAAAGCTCCTGCCTAGCCGAAAAAAGAAAAGAAAAAAGATAACATGTCTATAAAAGAACAATTTTAAAAGAAACAACTATCTCAAAAGTACATGAAACAAAATGGTAAGGTAAACTTGTTATTTTCATCACTGAACAACAGCATTAAACAAATGACTTAATTCAGAACAGGCTTGAGAGATGAAATAAATGGTGCTGGTAAAACAGATGACATGTATCTCCCCACATTAGCCTGCAGTAATCAAAGCAATACTAAACTCAACAAGACAGCTGACAGAGGTGGCTCACATTGTAATCTCAGCTACTTGAGAGCCAGAGACCCCATCTCTTCTAACAAAAAGCTGGACATGCTAGTGTAGGCCTGTCATCCCTGCTAGGTGGGAAGTGTAAATAAAAAGACTATGGTCCAGGCTGGCCCAGGTATAAATGTGAAGTCATATCCCAAAACATAACTAAAGGACTGCAGGTATGGCTCAAGTGGTAGAGAGCCTGCCTACCACATATGAGGCCCTGAGTTCAAACCTCAGACCCATCACACACACACACACAAAAAAAAAACCCTGAGAAATACGCAATAATGGAGATAATTCTGAAATAGACACTGCCCCTGAATATATCAAAGCAAGAAACTAGCATAAAGTTAAGCTACATAGCATGGAATAAGAAACCCTAAAATATTAAGAAAATGACTCAAAATTAAAATGGCCAACAGACATAAACAGACAAAATTTACATAAAAGGAAATATTAGCAGCCAATAGACATATGAAGACATGGGTTGACCTTCCTATTAATCAGGAAAATTCCCATTAAAAGAAGATACTAGTTTCCACAGAGCAGATTTTATGAGTTTCAGGATAAAGTGCTGACAGTGTGTGAGGAAGAGTGTACCCCTCTGCCAGCGGAAGTATGGACTGACATAGTCACTCTGAAGGGCAAACCAGGATATTTAGTACATATCCCAAAGATCTTTGAATTCTATTCATCAGCATCCATCCCAAACACACACACACACACACACACACCACACACACACACAAACACGGGTTTACAAAATAGCTCACACAAAGATGTTTGATGCAGATGTTCACTATTTCTAACAGCTGATAAGAAATAAATTATGGCTTATCCATATTAAATGAATCACAGTTTACTCATGTGATAAATATAATGTAGTGAAAAAGCAAAGAAATAATTTAAAACAAGTTGTAGAAAATTGCAATGTGATGAAAAAACAATACCACACACTTTCTAAGGTACATACTTGTATACACAAGTAGCTAGAAAAAAGTCTGGTCTGATTCACACTCCACTGAGAATAACTGTTACCTCTGGGAAGGGAGAATGGCTGATAGTTGTGGTCAAAAGGAACTTTAGCCTTATCAGAATTGTTAAGTTTTCCTGAATTTTAAAATACCTGTATATGAATGTCCACTACTTTAGTTTTATGTTTAATTCCTTAAAAGATCTCAGGCAGGGACAGACAGGGAAAGGAAAGTGGACTGGGCGGGAGTGAGGGTGGGGTGGAGGAAGGCAAGAGAGAGTATTTGGGAGGGTGGACTCAAACAAAGTATTTATGGAAGTGAAAGAGAAGCATATTGATCTGAACAATTAATAGGATTAATTAAAAAAATCTCAGGCAAAAAAAAATTCCATATAAAAATGGAGTCCCTGTGATCTCTCTACATCCTTCTCTACCTTCCTTTTATGAAGTAATTCTGTCAAGAATTCAGTGTTCAGTACTCAAGTATGTTTTTAACTGATACACAGAAACATAAAACCATTCAAAATCCTTGTTTTCAGCCTTTTGACATAAATATACGATACATAATTGTTATCTACAGTCACCCTACTATACAATACCACACTGAGAGCTTCTTTCTCTTAACTTAAATCCTTTCATCTCCAGTTCCATCCATGTTGTCATAAAGGATAGGATTTCATTCTTTTTTATGGCTGAACAGTATTCCAGTGTGTATAAATAGCACATCTTCTTTACCCATTCATCAATGACAGACACTCAGCTTAACTCCATATCTGGGCTATTATGAATAATGCTGCAATCAACATGAGAGTGCAGATGTCTCTTTGACACACTGATTTCAATACCTTTGGAGATATACCCAGTAGTGGGATTGCTGGATCATATGGTAGTTCTATTTTTATATTTTTAAGGAACCTCCATCCTGTTTTCTGTATGGCTACACTAACTTACATTCCCACTAACAATGTATAAAAGTTCCCTTTTCTCCACATCCTTGCCAGCACTTGTTATCAACTCAAAATGGAATAAAGATTTAAATGTAATGGGGCCAGGTGTGGTGGGACACTTGTGAAACTTCAGCTGCTCAAGAGACAGAGATCAAGAGGATGGTGGTTCAAGGACCCCATTTCAACTAACAAGCCAGGTGTGGTGGACACTTGCCTATGGTTCCCAGCTATGGAGAGGTGTAGATAGGAGCATTTGGCTGAGATCGGTCCTTGGCAAAAACACAAAATCCTATCCAAAAACAGCTAAAATGGCTGGGAGATGTGGCTCAAATAGTAGAGTACCTGCCTTGCAAGAGTGAGGCCCTGAGCTCAAACCGCAATCCTGCCAAAAAAAAAAAAAAAAGATTTAAATGTGTGATATGAAACCACTAAAAGAAAAGAGGTGAAATGCTGTAGGACACTGGGCCATATTTATTTATTTTATTTTGTAGCAGTACTGGGATTCGAACTCAGGGCCTTACACTTGCTAGGCAGGAACTCAACCACTTGAGCCTCTCGGCCAGCCGCTGAAGGACACTGGTATGGGCAAGAGTTTTTTGGGTAAGACCTTCAAAAGCAAAGTTGGATTATATTAATTCAAGAACTTCTGGGAGCTGGGGATGTAGCTCAGTGGTTTAGTGTTTGCCTAGCATGCATGAGGCCCTGGGTTTGACCCCCAGCACCCCCCCAAAAAATAAATAAAATAAAAAGAAAAAACTTCTATACAGCAAAGGAAACAATCATCAGAGTGAAGAGACAACCTACAGAATGGGAGAAAAATATGTGAGAACTGTATCTCCAGCAAGGATTTAATATTCAGAATACGTAAGGAACTCTCAACAACTCCACAGCAAAAAATATATATATACATATTAAAAAATGGGCAACGGACAGGAGACTGAGATTCAAGACCAGCCTGGACAAAAAGCTCACAAGGCCCCATTTCAACAGAAAAAGCTGGGTAGTGGAGCATGCCAGTCACAGCAGCTATAACAGAAGCATAAATAGGAGGATCGAGATCCAGGCAGGCCCAGGCAAAAAGCAAGACCCTATCTCAAAAATAACCAATATAAAAAGGGCTGGAGGCATGGGTCAAGCAGAACCTAGAAAGTACAAAGCCCTGAGTTGAAACCCTAGTACCACCACCAAAAAAACTTTAAAAATACCCCCAAAACCCAGAGCAATAGACCTAAACAGACATTTCTCAAAAGAAGACATACAAATGGCCAATGGATATCTGAAAAAAAATGCTTCATCAGGGAAACATAAATCAAAACCACAATGAGATATCACTTCATGCCAGTAAGGATGGCTTATTACCCAGCATGTTTTTATATGTTATATTACTTTTATTAAAAATAAACTTAAAATAATTATGAATACCTACAGATTAAAAAAAATCTTAAGTGGTTGTTTTGCTATTTCATTCTGAAGAATAAGAGATGGGTTTAATGGGAGCCCATGCAGGTGTGGCAAGACTAAATGAGGTTATTTTTTTTTCTTTTGGTGGTACTGGGATTTGAACTCAGGGCCTCATGCTTCCTAGGCAGGCATTCTACCATTTGAGCTACTCTGCCAGTCCTGTGAGTTATTTTCTTGATAGTCCAAGATTCATAAAAACAGAGACATTCTCATGATTTATGAACTTCAGCAAGTCTTCAAAGGTCATCAGCAGTACAACAGTGAAGAGAGGCCCAAATGTGGCTTGGGAAACAAGGGCTGTTTCAGCCCAGGGGTTCTTCTTAGTTGAGTTATAGGCTATGATATTTTGTGTGTGGGGGGGGGAGCAGTTGGCGGGGGAGGAAGAGCCTATGAGATAACAAGAGATAGTTTCACAGAATGTAACAAAGAACAAGGGCTCCTAAGGATGGGAGAGGAAATCAACTGAGGATTGGGGAGAAAACATCAGGTTATAGACCACAGTGAACAACCTTATCAAAAGGGCTGAGAGGAACTGGAGGAGTGGCTCAGGTGGTACAGCAACTGTCTAGCAAGTGTGAAGCCCTGAGTTCAAACCCTACTACTGTCAAAAAAAAAAGTGCTGACAGCTTTCTCTTTTTAGAAGATGCCAGAAAAAAAGGCAGAACTATTTATATTTATCTGTTTTGCTATTCTACTATCAGTTAGTAGAATAGCTATCATTGAAGAACCAAAAACCAAGATAGGAGACAACAGTGGAAGAATTAGTTTTAATAGATTTCTTCATATACTGATTCAAACATGGAGCTGGGATTTCAGAATTAGGTAACAACCTCTAAAAAAAAAAAAAAGCAAGGAAGGAGAGAAATGCCTTAACATGTTGAGAAGGACTAATATTATACTGATTTTCATAAAAGAAGAAAAGGAAATTTCCAAACCATGGACTGAAAAACTTACTGTCAGTCTTTGACACATTAAAAAAAAAAAAAAGTAGATTAGACAGCATCTAAGAGCGCTTAAGAAACCAAGTCTTTCCCACAGGAAATGACATAAATTCAATCAAGAAAGTCACACTAATCTCTTTTTTTTTTTTTCTGGATCAGGAAATTCAAAGAACATTATTATACATGGTGTTTTATCACAAGTTCATTTAGACAAATAATCCAGATACTGACAATAAAATGAAATATGGGCTTGCTGATAACAGGGTAATAATTAGTACATATGTTTCACAGCATGACAGT